ACTCTTTCCAAAGCAGCTTTGCTTTCTACTATCTCGCATTTTGTCCTTGCAAACATAATGTCACTAGCTTACTTTACTGAGAGGTCAACAGGACATGCTGGTCAAGCTGATAGTGAATTTTAAGAATGTGCTCTGTTGGACCTCAAGGCAAATTACATCAAACGGGCTGTTGCGCTTCTTGACGTAGTGCACATTGTTGGACTTGAACAGGTCATTACAGCTCTTTTTTTTAACCATGTTTGAATGAATGTTCAAACTTCAAATGAAAAGTGACAGCCCTAATGTCAGCTTTGGTTAAGTGTTAGGGTAAGGGTTAAGGTTAGGCTCATGTTTTTCATGTTTTTGTCATAGTTCAGCACAAAATGAATTACAGTTTTTCTTCATGTACTGTATAAGGCAAAGTCAATAGAAACAAGTATTTTTTGTACCGGAAACAAATTCTTTGTGTGTGTAACATACTTGGCCAAATAAAGGTGATTATAATTTCAAAGGTGATTATTTTGTCAGATTTTTTTCTGCTGTGTATAATATGAAATTATTCAACAGATCAATGCAGGAATGTGAAAAATTACAGGAAAAAGTTCACATTATAAACTGAAAAATGTCACGCGAACACATCCTAAAATAGGTTGATATTTAAATGCTTCTTTCCTTGTATGACCTATTTCAGTCCCACAGTATGACTACAGCAAATATGTATAACACCACAAATCTCCATCCTCTGCATTTCCCTCTCTCTTGCTTTGGCTTCCTTCTCTTCTCCTCCCCCACTCCTTTAATTCAGTTTTGAGGTCAGCTTGAAGCTCATCTCAGCACCCGATTGCATCCTTTTTAACACTTTGCATATGCCTGTCGTTACTGGTCAACAGTATTTGCACTGAAGGTGTAACTCAGCTCTATTTAAATAACATACACAGTAATGCTGTCCAGTGCCAAAGCACCAAAACCTCAAACTGGGGGAAAGGGATCAGCATAAATCACTAATGCATCAGAGCTAAAATCATGTGGATTAATATTTGATTACATTTAATATTACTAATCCATTCTCTCTGCGGCAGTGTGGTGCATTAAGCATGACCGGTTGTCAAGGTCACAAATAAAATTTGATGCTGTTTCTTAACTGAATAAACAAATGTGACACACACCAGGAGACACTTTGTAAATATGTGATGTTTGATTCTGATTTCAGTTTCTTGATTTTGCTTTTGTGAAAGAAAAAATCCAGGTTTGTCTGGTGTAGGAGCAGATTGCCATGGAGATGTGAGATTATGTTGCTACAACTTAGGCTCCATTTCCTGTTTGGTTTGATGGCAGTCACATAAACAGTTTGGATTTTAAAATGAAGTGTAACAGAGCTGTGATCTGAAGGTTCAGCTATGCGGTGTGGAAAATTGCATTATGATTGGTTCAACCTTACAGGGAAAAAATGATTGTATATTGAACTTACAATGGCCAAAATAAATTTAAAAAGTAGATTTTTGAGCAAAGGAAACTTTGGAAGAAAATGTTTTGCTTTTTTGTAATGAAGTGCAGCTGCAGGAGTCACTAAGCTTCTCTAGCACGTATCACCTTATACTGGTGTGTGTTTGTCCCAAAAACTTTGAGATTCATGCTCCCCAGGCAGACGGCTGACATACAGTATGTAGATAGATTTGAAGATCAATACCACTCTCATGTCTGATCATTAATTATATAGCTGGAGGCAGCAACCAGTTAGGAAACAGCCTGGCTTTGTCTAAAGGTAAGTTTTGCTGTTGCAGAGGATGGTGGGCCAAGGCAGACATGTTGGCTTTTGTTTCTTTAGTTGCTTCATAGAAGAATGTTGCTGCATTGGAAGAGTCCAAATCTGCCTCACTGTGCTACTTGGTTGGTGGACCATTTTTCATTTTTACACTTGGAGAAGATTATTAGAGATTCACCAGGACAGTTTGACAAAAGGTTTGGTTTGTTGTGTATGTATATATGAAGAATAATAATGGAAAAGGAACATACAGTACCAAGAGTAGGTACCTGTGGTGTAACAGGGGGATGTGGATCATAATATGAATCAGCCCAATACTCATTAGACAGCTTTATTTAAATCCTACTGACTTATCTGCCTGAGTTTACGCTCTTCTTCAAGCTTACATGGAGTAAAAAACACAACTTATGGACTCATCTGCAGGCCTGATTCATCATACAAAACTGGATAGTGCTAACATGAATAAAGTTTTAAATACTGCAATTCAAACTCAAAAGACACCAAGACAATTGTTTAAAATGAATGTGTATGAAAGTGGGTGAAATAAACTGAATTGTAGGTTTAATTGAATACCTGCCATTTCTATTTGTAGCATTATCACTTTTTCACACACAGTCAAATAAAACATGTGAGTCACTGCAGATGCCAAAGGCTAAAAACTCTTTAATCTTTATTCTAAAACCCTATTTCCCCAGATTGGTAAAAACAAAGTAAGGATAACCTGCCTTATCCTTCATTTATAGATCTCTCCCTCTCTACCAGTCCTCTATGATAACCCTATTAAAATATTTTCCTCTGGCAAATCCCTAAGAAATAAATCCCCTTTTCCAGAAAAGGGGGACGGGCAGGAAGGTTTTGTCAGTCACAGTTGCCATGGCAACCCTGGTTGGTTTTATACTGCAGCCTGGCATCATAGTGACTAGTCAGGATAAGTTTGCTGGGGACATTTTACACTGAGTGAGGGTGTCAGCCATTTTTAAATCTACTTAAAATATGAGCACGTTCAGGAGATGTGCCAAGTGATGCTGGCTAAGGTTCATTCATTACAATCACAGAAATGGGTCACAGAAGACATTTCTAAATAGTTTCAGATCAAAGAAAGAAGCAGGTATAGTGCCAGCTTCATGTGTGGGATGGTTTAAAAGTCTTAAACAATAGAGTGTAAGAGTGATTGGTTTGATAGATCATGACAAATGAAACAGCAAGATCAGCTGTGCAATAGATATTCTGCTTCCACTGCCACAGTGACAGTTATAGCTTTTGTTATATTACAGCTTCATTACCTGTGTGATTCTCCCCTGTGTCAGCCACTGTCTTCTTCAGAGGCTGACAGCCCATGATGTCCATTTTCAACATTTATAGGGAGCTGGATCCACAACTGTGATAGACTGCTTCCCCTGTGTGGACAGATACAGTACTACAACACAGTCATGCTTACCCAGCACAGGAAGTAGACCTGAGATAACTGCACTGCCTGGGCATATTAGCATCCTAAAAATCAGTCAGACAGGTCCAGACGACATTAGTGTGACTGTTAGGGGTGGAAAAATATATCATGATTTAAAATGTGACAATATGCATCATGAAACTGAAAAATGTATCGCAATACCAAGTCAAGACTCCCATGTAATTCATTTATATTAACAAGAGGGGGCAACTGGCCAACTGTTGTTGACCCTGATGTTCACTAGGGTTAGCTACACTAGCCATTATCCACGCTCTAATCTAATTACCGTCTAATCAACACAATAAGGGACATGTATAAATTAGAAGGACTATTTGAAAACTGTTTTGTGCATTTATATACGTAGGAAGAAATAAATAACTGTGACAATAGTTTTCATTCTCACTGTTATCGTGAGTGTATCAAACCACAAGCCCTGTTACTGAATATTGAACTGAACAAGAGCAAGTTGTAACATTACAGCCCTACTGTTAATACACTGTAGACTCTTGTGGTTTAGAACAATACATAGATCTGCTTGATATGGAGCCAGCAGCTGGTCTTTAAGACTTTCAGAGAACTGATGATGAACACTGAGGTATAATGAAGAACTTCCTTTCTCCACACTGAATATCAAATATTATGCTGCATTCTGGAGGCAATGAATTTTTCATTCAGTAAAATATGGGGCTAAAGATGAGTGTTGTCTGATGGCTGGTTAAATCGTGGGGTTTAGAAGAGCATAATAGAGCAAAAACACCTCAAATAGACACTTTGGTTATGCTGTATCTATCTAAACTTTAATGATGAGTGCATTTTTAAAAATTTTGTTTGTAACTACTCCCACAGTAGTTTAGATGTTTCACTTTTACCCCCCAGAGCTACATTTGAACACAAATAACTATACATTTATTGATGTGTATGTTACAAATAAGGTGTCAGTTAAAAATATAGCTCCCTGTATAGGATTAAAAATATATTTTAAGGGAAAAAAAACAAAAGAAAATCTAGAAACACTCGTGGGTAAGAAATTTTGTAGAGAAATTTCTCACGGATGAAAAACTGGGCCAAGTTTAAACAAAACATTTAATAGTAAATCCAGATGTGCGCTTTTAATCAATTTATAGTTTAAGTGTCCTGTCTTTCTGTTAACCCTGCTATTTGTTCACTCTGTTTATTGTTGAGAAAACCTGTTTCTGGCCATTTAAAAAAAAAAAGGGTGTATAGGAAATGTTTTGTTTTTGGTTCTGTATGAGTTTTTTCACTCTTTTTCTTTTGACATTTAATTTCTATGTTGTATATGGAACCAGAAAGGAACATAAGGGAGAGAAAGAGGAGGGAAAGGAGTTAAAAGATATTCTGTCAATTTAATAAAGAAAAATTAACAATAAAGTCTGAGAATAGTGATTTCAGTCATTTATTACTTCCCAGTTTCAATCATCATTACCCTTGATTATGTGACTTCAAAACCACACAGATATTTTTCACAGAAATAAAAACTTCAGACAAATGAGGCTAAAAAATTGTTTTACAGGTAACATTTGACATTAACGTCACCTTTCCAGTGTCACGGCTATGGAGAACAACCTGTGTGTATGAACACAAGGATGACATGTGGTAAAGGTACCTGTACTGTTGCCCTACAACAAGTCTCCATGTACCGCTTTTACAGTTAACGCCAACCTCAAGTAAAGTGTCCAAGCCACAGAAACTATGCTTGTTTGTGTCATGCGGTGCAGATATTTACTTTTTAAGTTAAAATGAAATGGTTCCAATCTTTTCAGCGAGATGTTTACACTGGGACCCCAGAAAAGGTGTTAAAATAAAAGAAAGCAGCTACAAAGTTTCACAGTAACAATCATCTGTTTTCATGCACACTCCTCGATAGGAAAGGCAGTGTCAAAATACATCCTTCATCTGACACAAACTTCATGCACATGACGAGTGGCTCCTCAGTCTTGGGTGGCAAGTTAAAGAAGGTGATTGCGTAACATCATTTCCCTTCTCTCACGTATCACTGCTCATCTCGGCTCTGTGGCTGTGACGAAAACTGACCACAACAAGCAGCCATATCACTTTGTTGCACTGTCACACCAGTTTGCGGAATTAAGCGTCCTCTTCCTCCACATCGCTGTGCAGTGTCATCCAGTTGTTTTATAGACGGCTGATACATGGCAGTACTCACAATTTATTATGTTAAATCCAAGTGCAGGCACTAGAGATTCATCAGTGGATTTCAATGTGTACCTAGGAACAAATGGAGTTTGTCAGACAACACACTACAGACAAGAGGATGGATAAGACAGTTTCCTTTCTTGATTCAAAAATCCAAAATGAAGACATGCATGAAAATGTTAACAGGTCAAACTTTAAATCAGTAGAATACATTTATTAGAAACACCTCTCAATTTAATGCAATACAACTTAAAAGCATCACAAACTGCAACCACCAGGAATGCTCATACAGTTGAATCAACACCTCTCTAAAAGAGATTAAATTTAAACTAGACATTATAACCTTTTTGATGGCAGGATTATCGCAAGACTGTTCTATTAGAATGCACTGGTTTGGGCTATAGTAGGTGTACCAAATAAACTGGCAGTTGCTTTTAGATGGAGTCAAAATTCATCCATCGTAAAACCCAGTGTCGTTCATTCAACCATCACACAACATGTGTTTATAATGTTATGATTTCACACTACACAAGTTCAATAAACTCTAAATTAAGCCCTACCCCATCAGCTGTTTACATATTGTTATTAGTAATCTGGCCAACTGGCAACGTAGCTAATGGGCAAATTTAAGGTTAGCGTTTACGGTTTGCTAAACGTGTTTGAATGATTACCTGCAATCTGACATTAAACATCATCGAGGCGACAAGGTAGATATATGGGAATCTTATTCGCAGTCGCCATGCAAGATCAAAAAATATCAACAAAGTCCTTGTCAAGCCTTTGGAAAACACTCCATAAGTCCGACTAGCGGAGCCCGAAAACCGGAGTACTAAGTAAGTCAGACCGGCCATAAAGGCGAAGTCTGCCCCGGCGGTTTGTGGGGTAACTGTGGTAGTTAGTGAGGCAAGCCGGCGAGAATAGTGGTGAAAGCTAAGTGACTGCTCATGTTTCTATCGTTGAATGACTCAGAACTCCATACAATGGCTAATTGTGTTGGTAGAACAACGCCACCCCGACAGCTTCTCTACAGATTCCTCCTATGCTCAAAGGGAGGAGCGATTTTTGTGTGACACACGGATGCTGAACGAATACGGGTATTGACTCCCGTAGTACAGACTGTCAGGCACAAATTTAGCAGTTCAAACAAAATTTTAAATAGTAGGCAGTTCTTAATAGTTTTTAAAGTCTTTGTGAATATTTTAAGAAACAAACTGATAATATATGATATTGTTTCAGAGAACGTGCATTTTATTTGAAATTTAGCTAATACAGGCTGCATATTCATAAAATATATATGGGGGGGGGGGATTAGTAGGTTTCAGGAAGACTAATAGCACAGTTTTCCCCAAAATAAAGCAAAATTATACCAGTATGGGTATTAATAAAAATGCAAAGGTCACTCCAAAAATTCTCACAAAAATAAATGAACGCGTTTTTCAATCAAAATGTTTAACTGTGGCTCGGTGGTTATCGCTGTCGCCTCACAATTCGAGCCTGGGCTAAACTGGTGCCTTTCTGTGCGAAGTTTGCATGTTCTCCCTGTGCCTGAGTTATTTATCTCTGGGTGCCCCGACTTCTTCCCACAGTACAAAGATACAGTATGCGGCTTAGGTTGATTGGTGACTAAATTGAGTGTGAGTTTTTTTTGTTTTTGTTTACAAAACTCACAAGGGACTGAGCAACAAATCATACACAGACACTACACAGATCAGCATCTGAACAAAACTAAAATAGATAGATAGATAGATAGATAGAGAGATAGATAGATAGATAGATAGAGAGATAGATAGATAGATAGATAGAGAGATAGATAGATAGATAGATAACCAGGGGGTTACAGTAAATCAAACTGACTGATTGCAGATAAAAGACTTTGGGCATCTTTAAACTTGTGCAACCCAGGGAATAAGTGTGGATATTTCTTATCTAAAGGCAGCTAATGTGTGTGGTTGTTTTTCTACATGTCAGCCCTGTGATAGACTGGCGACCTGTTCAGGGTGTTCCCTGCTTCTTGCCCAATGTCAGCTGGGATGGGCTACACCCCCTGGCCCTGTTCAGGATAAGCGATATAGACAATACATGGATGGATGGATGTTTAACTGTTAACTATAACTTTAACATTATATGGCATAAATGTCCAAATTTTCAATAAAGGAAAAGGGGAAAATGTTGTCATACATACAACATAACAAACAAA